GGCAGCGGAGCAGCCGGTGGAGGAGCCAAGGGGGGGGGCGCCTTTTTTTATGTTTGCTCCCCCTGCACTTAGAACCTGGCTACCCCACTGGGAGACGGGTGTGCTAATGGGCTCTGGAGGTGGAACGCTCCTCACCCCAAGACCGTGTAAACTTCTGACAGCAGCAGCATAACCCCTGCAGGGCACAGAGTGAGTGAGAGGCTGCCAGAGCTAGCAAAGCAAAGGCCAAGAGACAAAGAAAACAGCGAGCAGAGGCATAGGAACAACCCAGAAATTGAAGGTCCCCTGGGGCTTAATTCTCAGAGGTGCCGAGCCCCTGCAGCTCCCATTGACCTCAGAGGGAGCACATGGCCTATGGCTTGCCGGCCACTTGTTAAACAACTCAAGCAGTGGGTGCTTCCACCACTTCCCTTGGGAACTTCTTCCACAGCCTGATCCATCTTCATTGCTCTTCTACTGACATTCCCCTTTGCTCACTGCTTAGAGTTACAGCCCCTTGAACCACCCTGCACAGCAGCACAGGCTGGAGATGGCTGAAAGGAACCAGGCAGGAGTGACACATAAAGGGGAACTTCAGGGCCGTAGGGGGTTGAGATCACACAGTATGTGACTGAAGGTGGGGGGTGCAAAGGCAGGGCTACCTGTACAAAGCGGCTTCCCGCACTCTACAACATTCCCTCTCCTTGGAGTCTGATTCTACCACACATCCAGTGAGGAACACGGTACTCTGCAAACAAACCCAATGAAATCAGTGGGACCAATTGTGGCGTAAATTGCAACTCCATCTAAGTGAGAGGGGCAGAATCAGACCCTTTGCCTTTACACCTTGCAAGTACCAGACCTCTCACGCCTCAGTCATTGTGAAGCCAAGCTGGACATATCTAGGTTTTGAAGTCAGGTTGCACTGCATGGTTGCCACCCATCAGGCCTTGTCCTTTCATTGTAACATCATAACCCTGTGCTTTCTGCATCGTGACATCGTTACATGAGTGCCACACATTATACTGCAGCATATTGCCATGCTAAATCAGGCCAGGACCCATCTAGCCCAGTGCCGTGTCTCTGAGAGTGGCCAGTGTCAGCTGCTGCAGAGGAACGATGCATTTCAATAGACTCCTACAAGCCAAGATGTTAATGTCCTACAATTGCAGAACCCATCCTCTCCACAGAAACCAGACCAGGTAGCAATCCCTGGTGGCTGCTCATCCCAGGAGAGGTGGGGATGCAACTTCCAGGATAACCAGGGCCCAAATTTGTGGTGACTTTCTGGGTGAGAGAGAGAAGCGGGAGACACTGCAGACACATTCGTTTGCCTCATTCCTTGAGTGAAGGAGTCAGCTTTAATCCTTCACCCTGAAGAGGCAGGACACATGCTAGTGAGCAGGATAGCGACTGCACAGAAGACAAGTGCACTTTGCTCTGGGAAGAGACCTGGTGAAGTCACCTAGTGGCCACCCAGGCGACTGTTCCCCTCTGCCCCACATTCTGGTGATCCGCTCAGGGAGCTGTAGAGAGCCTCGTGATGCCGAATTTCTGGTGAGAGGAAATAGTTTCTATGGGGCAAGAGGTACTTGTAACCAAGTGGGCTTTCAGAATGTTGCGCCGTGTGAAATAGGAACAGGCGTCTTCATTGTATTGGACCAGCTTCAGAACGAGTTGATTCAAAGCCTGACCGAAGTGAATTAAAACCAGTAAAAACTCTTCCCTCTCTAACCTGCTTCTGTCAGGCCTTGCTGGTTACCAAGGAGTCAAATCAATCAGGAGCATCCAGTTCCCCACACCACTGGAGAGCACATCTGGCTGAACAGCTGCAGAGCCAGAGAGCAGGGGAGGATGGGTGCTGGGCTGGATCCCCAGTTGTGCCATTTGCCTGTTTGCCGTCATCCTGAACAGCTGGGTTCGCACAGCGAGACATAGCTTCATAAAACTGCCTGAAGTGCCCTCACGTCCCAGCGCTCCAGCTGGTGCAGAGGGGAGGCGGGATTGGGCCAGGAGGGAAGTCTAGCAAGCCTGCAGGGTGCCATTTGTTTTGGAAATTGTTCGCTGACACTCACGCTGCAATGTGCATCCTGTTGTGTGATCTTCAGTCAGGGTCAGAGGAAGGGAAAAACATGTAGAAGTGGCAGCCTGCTGTGAGCTCATCGCCCTGTGGCTGCTGTGCCTTGCTGGCAGAATCCCGGCGAGGGGGAGGGGAGAAAAGTATGTGTGTTTGCGGGGGGTGCTGGTGGAGAGGCCTCTAGCACTTCGTTCTTTGCTTCAAGGAGTCTTTAAGGGGCTTCCGCGCTTGGGGAGAACTTTCAGGTGCGCTCTCCGTTGGGTGAAGCCCTTTCTCCTTCTTGAAGTTACATTAGCCCAAGCACTGCAGTGCACAGACTGCAAACCCCTGGGACGGCTCAGCCCACAATTCGTCCAGTTCGTTTTGTGCACCTCACACATGATGGGCAGCGCCCCTTGCCACTCCCTTCATTCTTCCCCCACATGGATCTGCTCTTCCCCCAAGTCCTGTCCTGCAGCATCCCCGGTGCTGGACTGCTACATAACTTGGCCAATGCACCTCAATCCCAGTCTGCAGCTTCCCTGTTATTCTAATCCTAGAGCTTTACACAGCTCTGCCAATGCAGCCTACAGCCCTCCACCCCCACTATTCCAGTCCTGGGCCCCTACGCGGCTCTGTCAATGCACCTCAGCCTTGACTCACAGCCCCTCCTGCTCTTCCAATCCTGGACCTACCTCTACATAGCTCTGCCAATGCAGCTCGGTCCTGGCCTGCAGCCCCCCTGCTAGTCTAATCCTAGAGCTCTACACAGCTCTGCCAATGCAGCTCGGTCCTGGCCTGCAGCCCCCTGCTAGTCTAATCCTAGCGCTCTACACAGCTCTGCCAATGCAGCTCGGTCCTGGCCTGCAGCCCCCTGCTAGTCTAATCCTAGAGGTCTACACAGCTCTGCCAATGCAGCTCAGTCCTGACCTGCCGCCCCCTCCCCACTGTTCCATTCCAAATGTGTGGCGTCCAACTGAGTCTTTTGATGAAAATTGGCAGCAAGTGATGCACAGATGGGAGCTGCAAACAGGTTTGTTATTGTAAGCTTAATGTTGCCTTCTTAGAATACAGCCAGTGGAGGTGAGAACATCAGGCATAGAGTTCAGATGCTGTTTCCTGACTATATGCTAACAACTGAGCAAAAGCTCGTTTTGGTCCCTGTATTCAGAACCTGGTTAATCTTTGTCATTCTGTCATGCCAGTGCCCAGCAGGTCTCAGCCCTATGAAGGATGGCACCGGCTGCTATGACCGCCACGTTGGGGTGGACTGTTCGGATGGGTTCAATGGTGGCTGCGAGCAGTTGTGTCTCCAGCAGATGGTGCCTCTGCTGGAAGATCCCTCTCTGTACAATATCCTCATGTTCTGTGGGTGAGTGACCTGGCCCATTCCATCCTCATCTAGGAGACAGTTGGGCAGGGATATGGGGGAACCTTACATGGCCATATTAGCACCTAGGGCAGGAAAGGAATGTACTGCGTGATGTCTTGAGCTGGGTCAGGGATAGCCATGCAATGCAGCTCCTTGGGCACTCAGCTTTTCTAGTGTTGCCCAACTGCATGTGGGTGCACGTGTGTATGTGTGTGCATGCAAATGCAGGTTGGGCGGGGGCGGGTCTTACCTCTTACACAGACAGCTGCATAACACGAGGAAGAGATCCCGCATTGTGGAGATGCACCAGAGCGCCCTGCCTCCTCCTTCCCAGACGGGCATGTATGTTAGCAAGAGAAACCACTCCCCCCCCCCACCCTCCCCGCCTACCTCAGGGCACTGGATATGCCTTTGTCAGGAGGGCAGCCAGGTGCAAGTTTGAGTGTACGCCACCAGCTATGAAATCAGAGCAGTATTTCCCTTTGGGATTGTCTGTGCTGTAACCTCTTGGTAAGCAAACGGAACGGCTCTGTGTTTGCTAAGGAGACAGATCCGCCCAGTGCTTGGGAGGAAATGGAGCACAGGCTGGGTACTGGGAATACTTTCCTGACAGTCTGAGCTATCGGGTCATGGAATGGTCTGTCAATGAGAACAGTGGAAGTGCTATCACCTAAGCCATTTAGAACCGGACCGAACAAGGCACTGGAGCGAACAGTCTTCCATTCATGCCTTGAAGATGATCAGGTGACTATATCTGTTCTGGGAGCCGTCCACCACTAGTGGTTATAACTCAATGGCTCCTATGCTCCACTGGGGTTGTTCCTTGCGTTGAGGTCCCTCCCCTCCTCCACCACTGGATGTATTGGCTCAGTCCCCAGGTGTAATGGCTTGTGCTGGGTTTCCCCCCATGGCAGGTGCATTGAGGATTACAAACTTGGAGTGGATGGGCGGTCATGCCAGCTGATCTCAGAATCCTGCCCAAAGGGAGGTGACTGCGGGGAGAGCCGGGAGCTGCCCATGAATCAGACTCTGTTTGGGGAAATATTCTACGGGTACAACAACCACTCCAGGGAGGTTGCAGCTGGACAAGTGCTGAAAGGAACCTTCAGGTGAATACCGTGTCCTCGCCTTTCATCAGGCAGGCGCTATCACTGTGCTTGTCTGGAACCTGCCACGCCCCTAGGAAGTCACGGTCTGTAACAGTCCCAGGTCCATAGCTGCTTGTTTCTGTACAGTTAAGGGTTTTTTCAAGGAAATGGGGGATACAGGAAAAGGAGCTAACTGAGGGCTCATGGGTTTGCTTTGCTGTTCATCTTTGCTGTTTACAGTTGCTGCTTTAAACGCAGCCCGGGTTGGGTGCGGTTGAAAGCCCATCCTATCTGATGGCTCTTCTGTGTTGCAGTGAGTTGTTGGCCACAATCCAGTTCTTAATGGCCAAGTCCCAGGTCGTCGAGGTCTTTAGGCACCTAACAGCTAATACCTTTGAGGCCAAGATCACAAACCCACCAGCCAGTGTTTTGCAGGAAGCTAGGGCTTAAATAGACACAGGAGACTGGACAGTAGGTTAAGCGGAGGTGAATTGACAATGCAGTGTGTGGTGGGGAGGTTGAGCTTCCACTGATCGTGCAACGCTTGTTCTCTTTCTGATAGCAGAGGGCCCTTTAATGCAGCAGACAAAGGCATAATGAGAGCCAGTGGCTGGAACCTGAAGCTAGACAAATTCAGGGTGGATAAGGTGCATGTTTTTAACTACTGGAGGTGGTGGATTTCTGTCACTTCAGGTCTTTAATCAAGATTGCGTGTCTTGATAAAAGAGAAGCTCTAACCATGCCAGAAGTTCAGGGTTTGATGTGGGGATCACTGAAACGCTGTGGTCTGTGCTGTGTAGGAGAGCAGGCTAGATGAGCACAAATGTCCCCCCGGCCTTAAAACCTGTGCCTGTATTGCTAGTCCTCGTTCTCCTGGGCTGCTAATCCGGCCACTTTAATTACAGACACGCACACAAGTGTTAACTCTCTGGAATTTGCAGGCAGAACAACTTTGCCCGGGGCTTGGAGCAGCAGCTTCCAGATGGCCTGGTGGTGGCCACTGTCCCGCTGGAGAACCAGTGCCAGGAGCAGATCTCTGAGCCCACACCCGACCCAGGCTTTCTGACTGGTGAGTGATTCCAGCCACGCTTTGGCTCTTCTTCTCCCAGACTCTGTTTGTGGAAGGCTGGAGAGAGTTCTTAGCGCCTGGAAAACAGGGCAGAGGGAGGGAACCTTTCACTGCCTGGCTTCAGCAAATAAAGACCTCCCCGGCCCATCAAAAGTCAGACAAGGCCCAAGCCTGGGAGACCTCAGATACCCTGGCTGCTCCTACTGACCTGTGGGCGCCCTTGGCACATGCCCTTTCCCTCAGCTACCTTCTGGAGGATCACCACATGATCACTGGCTGACTAGCCAAAGGTCCCATCCAGCTGCCTGGCATGGCAGGATAGCTCCCTGAGTGCTAGGAGGCACTCATTGTTAGCTATTGTTCATATTGAAGTGTCACCTACTGTCCCAATCAGGATCAGAGCCCCCAACAAACACATTGCCCCAAAGAGCTTACAGTGTAAATAGACACGGGAAGCTACGGCACAAAGAGGTAAAGTGACTTTCCTCAGGCTGCCCAAGAGCTCAGTGGCCAAACCAGGACTAGAACCCAGGTCTTTTGAGTTCTAGTCCACTTCCCCAAGGGGAGTCCCATAGATCTCCAACACTGAGTCAAGCCTCATTCTGTCTGACCTGTATATCCACACAGTAATAAAGACCCCTCAGGTCAAATGCTGCCCTCACTTACGCTACTGAACTCAAACTGCGCTTCCCTTTTCAGCCCTGCTGGCTCCAGGGTGGTTACACAGGTGTAACCAAGGCCACGCCATTACACAAGCAGTTTTGTAATTGGAACTTAGTTAACAATTCTGTTGATGAGGCACAAGCTGGAAAATAATCCAATTCATTCTCCAGAGCTGGGCTGGCTCTTCACAGCTGACAGTGGTAAAAAGCAGTAAAACCTTGTATTTTTCACTGAAGTCAGCAGATCCCAGCATCATTCTGAATACACACGGGGGGACAGAGGTGCTGAGTAAGAAGGGACCAGTTTTGCATAACCACTTTTCAGAGGAGAACCACACATTCAAGTTGTCAGTAACAGCGAGCAGTGAAGTAAGAGGAATTTCAAGACCCAGGAATGTCCCTCTTTCCATTTATTAGCGCTTGGAAAATGCGGCTTTACTCTCCTTGCACAATACAGCTGTTTAAAGCCTTGGAAGAACCCTTGACATGGGATAGTTTGTACCGTGGTTTGCTTGTTCACCACCCTCTCGGTGCTATTATCTCATATTGCATAAGCAATAAACGCAGCAAGGTTGCTAACCAAGTGGGTGGTAGGATATAGTGTATCCTTTTTGGGTACTGTAATGGATTGACTGGTCCATCTGTCATCAGTCCCCTACGTTGGTTGGACCCATGGACTGTAGGGTGACTATATCGCCCACTACTGTCCTCAGCCTATAAAGAATAAGCCCTGATAGCTAAGGGCAATTCTTCTTTAGTTGGAAGGATGGAGGCCTGTCTTTTTGGAGCAGAATGTCTTGCCCCAGGCACATGGTGCTTAACTAATGACCAGTCTTGGGTGTAAAATTGGCTGCCCTGGATTTATGACGTTAGTCACCAGAAGTGACGGTCAGATGAAGTACTGCCTACTGTCATGTGACCCATATGTTGCTGGAGATTTAAAGCTGACTATGACTGTTTCGAAACTACCAGAAAATGCAACATGCCAAGAAAGGGTGTTCAGGAAGCACGACATTTATAAGAAATCCATAGTCGCTGCTCAGCCGGAGGGGTGCTTTCTCACTCCTGCCCAGGGCCGGCTCCAGGCACCAGCGCAGCAAGCAGGTGCTTGGGGCGGGCAACGGAAAGGGGCAGCACGTCCGGCTCTTCGGTGGCAATTCGGCAGCGGGTCCCTCTAGGAGGGAAGGACCTGCCGCCGAATTGCTGCCGAAGAATGAAGCGGCAACGGTAGAGCTGCCGCCGAAGTGCCGCCGATCGTGGCTTTTTTTTTTTTCCGCTGTTTGGGGCGGCAAAAATGCTGGAGCCGGCCCTGCTCCTGCCTCACTGCACTACCTGCTATTCCAGCCCTGAACTGCATACACAGCCCTGCCACGCCACCTAAACCTTGGCCAGAAGAACCTTTTGTTTTTCCAGTTCTGGGCTCCCTCCCCAGCTCTGCTGCCTCCCCTCAGTTCTGACCTTCCATACCCCACGTTATCCCAGTTTGTGCTGTCTAATGAGTCAACCCTGCTAGTTATGTCACATGGTCATATGGTTTTAATATATTCATTTGAGTGGGCGCAGACATCCATTAGGTGCTAGCCGGAGGCTCACCAAACATATCCCGGCAGCAGCACCTCAAATCCAGAGGTAAATGTGCATTTGTTCCCTGTCACCACTCACCCTGGTAATTAGCTCTTCTCCAGTTTTGGATGGGGCACCATGGAACATGTTGCCCACGCTCTGAAGTTAACATGCATGAGTCCCACCAGGGGCACTCCAAGGAATTTGGAAGGAGCTGGTGGATTGAAATCCAGAGTTAGGAATCTCAGTGTAACTCTGGGAGGTAAGAGCTATGGCTGGAGTTTTCCAGGGCACCTAAGGAAGTCAGCTGCCTCGTTTGGGTTTGGGTGCCTGCGTTTCCTTTGAGAAGCCCAGCCCAGCCGCAGATCAGAAAGAGCCAGTTGGAAGGCAGAACATCTTTTAACTTGATTGAAATGGGTGAGAGTTTATATGAAGGCTTTGTTCATGTTTTGACATTTGTTTACTGGCCCCTGTTAAATGAGACTGTAGAGGCAGGCAGCAGGAATGGAATTGTTTCATTGGTGGATGAGTGTTCCCGAGCATACGGCTCGAAAATGGAGTCTCTTGGCGGTACCAAAGAGTCTGCATCCCGGCAGCAGGGGCTGTGCTTGGCAGCACCATCTGAAAGCTGGAGATCTTCACCATTAGGCAAAAAAGTTCCTTCTTGGTCCACTCAGACAGCTGCTCACCTTGGACAGCTAGAGTCAGCGACCCTCATTAGAGCACTTGCGTAATTGCAGATGTTACTGTTGGTTCTAACATTCTCCAGCTCCTTTTTCTTTTCTTTTTTTTTTTATGGCGTAAATGGCACCCCCTTTCTTAGCCCCCATGATCCTGTTATTCCCTGCTGTCTCTGGCTGGGGCGCTGATCATCCCGCGGCCGTGCTTCCTTCTGAATTGGAACCGCTGCTGCCCCGTTCCTAGTACTGGGCAGCATTATGAAACACAGTCAGGAAACTCCGAGTGAGTTTTGCTGTTGCCAGCGACCCGGGAGTTAAAAAGCCTGGCCGTTTTCCTTTCCCGTGTTTTACCGCTCGCCTTCTCAAATGAGAAGTGCAGCCACCTCCATTAATAATACATAGGAACTGAACGTTTTATAAACTCACCCCTCATGTAAAAGGGTTGCCGTGAGCTTTCCCTGCCTGCTATGCACCGGTTTGGATGTGGAGAGGTCACGGGGTAAAGTAGAGGAGAGATCGGCGGGTAATGTCCAGGTGATGATTATCCTCTGTGTGGAAAATTTAATCTAGCAGAGGTGTGAGGCTTGATTTTCTGAGGTGCTGGCACCCCCAAATGCCATTGCCTTTCCTAGTAGCCTCTGGGGTTCAGCACTTCAGCAAGTTAAAAGAAGGGTTCACTGCCCCCCCCCGCCAGTGCCTCACTCCTCTTTTTCCCTGCACCCGGTACTTGCCAGCCTAAGGGGTCCCACTGGCTTTCTTATCGTCCATGTCCATTCCTCCTGGCATGGAACACAGCGGCAATCACACCGCGAGGTGCATTAAAGGCAGCGCATACGGCAATGCCCAGTGTGCTGCATTCAGAGATGGCTCATTAAAAAAGTCTAATTAGTGGAGTAATGAACAAACCGGGACATGCCTTTGGGACCGGCCTTCCAGGAAAAACCCACAAAAGGCCTTGTTATCTTCAGAAGCCGAGCTGAGGATGGAGCGAGGAAACAAACCCAAACACATTCCTTTAAAGTTGTATTTTTAATTGCTGGAGAGTCGCTGACCCTCAAACCATCTTTTAGCATAATTAGACTCTTACCCCACCCAGTTGTTTCCTCCAGTGCAGTCCCAGCTCATTCTGCCACCCAAGGCAAGATTTAATTGGGCAGAACTGTCCCTTTACAGCAGATCAGGCAGCAGAAGCCAGACGCTACCTAGGGCATTAGCTTCGAGCCGGGTTTGCGAAGCCCAGGCAGTGAGTACCCCCTCATAGGAAACACTGATAATGAGTTGCAGTTACAAAGCTTATAGGTGACTAGAAAACAGGGACGGTGTCTTATGGTTAAAATGGGGAGTTGGGAGAGCTGGATTCAATTCCTGATGCTATCACTTCATTCAGCCTCCCTCTACCTCCGCTCCAAATCTGTAAAATAGAGACCATAGTCCTTTCCCTGTGAACTCCTCAGGGCAGGCAATGTCTCTTACAACATATCTGTGGAACACCTAAGTCAATGAGGCTCTGATCTCAGTTGGGGGCACTAGGTCCTACTATAACATAAATACTAATCGAGTATCTTCCATCCAAAAGGATTCCAGACCACTTTCCAAACTCTGGGCCAAACCCTGGGATCTGAACTCCCAACCACTGCCTTGCTTGTTATATACCCTGTAAGAAAAATGAGAGTTCATTTGCAGCTGGATACTTTCGCCTGTATCAAAGCCTTCAGAAGAAAATCCGCCCTGTCCCTTTGTTGCAGTCAGCTAAGCAGTCTGTACTGGAGGCTGAGACATTACACACATTCATTTGTCACGACTTGTCACAGCATCTTGGAGCTTTCAAAGAGCAGGCACCAATCAGAATGCAGGGATGTGAGCCCCTCCATTTTAAAATGCAAGAGATCATAGCAACAGCCGCACTGCATCAGACCTGTGATCCGTTCAGCCCAGTATCCCACCTCCAATAGCAGCTAGCACCAGATGCTTCAGAGGAAGGCACAATCAACCTGAGAAGATACAAATATGGCGTAACCTGCTCATAAGGGAAATGTATTGCTTGGCTTGTGCTAAGGGAAGCAGTGTGGCCTAGAGGATAGAGCACTGGATTGGGACCCAGGTTCTATTCCTGGCTCTGCTACTGCCTTGTAGGTGGCCTTTGGCAAGTCCTGTCCCCTCCCTGTGGCTCAGCTTCCCCACCTGTAAAGTGAGGAGAATGGATTGCCCTGCCTTTGGAAAGCACTTCGAGATTGGTGGCTGAAGTGCGAGCTAAGAGCCTGGGATGAGGAGGTTTAGTATTTAAGTGGGGTTTTCAGAAGGCCTCAGTGTTGGTCTAATTCTGCTCGCGTTGACGGCAGTGGTAAAAGCCCCACTGACTTCAGCGAAAGCAAAGTTCGGCCCATGCGGAACTCTTCTGGACATCCCAGCCTCCCTCCCTAAGACACAGCACCCCTATTTCCCCTCTGTGTGCGCTGAGGACGGTCTCGCACACCCTCTCCTCCCTGAACCACACTCCCGGTGTGGGGCAGACTGCCCATTGGGCAGCTCACCGCTCCCCAGCGCTGAGGGGGTTTCTCTCCCGTCTCCCTCAGGGATGGTGAATTTCAGCGAGGTGTCTGGATACCCATTGCTGCAGCACTGGAAGGTGCGTTCCGTCATGTACCACGTCCGGCTCAACCAGCTGACCATCTCCCAGTGTAAGTATCGCCGGGCTGCAAGCCGGGATCGGGAGGATGGTGGTAGAATAGCCTTTGGGTTGAGTGAGGTTTTGATCCTATTCTCCTTGAAAACCAAAGGCTGGATTGTCACAGCCCTTACTCGGCCATGCAGGGCCGTAAGAGGGAGTAAGGCCCTGCTGGGGTGGGGTTTGTTGGGAGCTCTGGCTCCACCCCTTCTCGTATTCACTCGTGCCTTCTACGTCTCATTGCTTCTGTGTCCGTTCCTCTGCAGCTTTCAGCAACGCCCTCCACTCTCTCGATGGAGCCACCTCCCGAGGCGATTTCGTGGCCCTGCTAGACCAGTTTGGCAACCACTACATCCAGGAGGCAGTCTATGGCTTTGAGGAATCCTGCTCCATCTGGTATCCCAATAAGCAGGTCCAGCGGCAGCTCTGGCTGGAGTACGAAGACATAAGCAAAGGTAAGAGGCCTAGCCAGTGATCAAGAACACACACACATCCTTCCAGAGAGCATATTGGCAGATCCCAGCTGTGTGGAGTCAAGGTAAGGGAGCCCTTTTCCAGGCCAGGTGTGCCTGACTGCACCGAAGGAGTGTGTTCCCATCTTTATACCGGCTGTTCTCTATCCCCCCCAGTGTGGACTCCTACAGCCAGTCATGTGATGGTGTTGTGATATGGACAAACTGCTCAAGCTAAGACGCCAACTCGTTTTGCTTGTTGTTTAGCCCTGATCCAGCACCCATTGAAGTCAATGGAAAGACTCCTGCTGGCTTCAGTAGTGATTGGATGAGGTCATTAGGGACAATAAAAAGCCAAGCGCCCAGAGAGATAAAAGGCTAATGCATTCATGCCACCAAGCCTTCCTGCCTCTTAGCTCATATACGTCTTTAATCTTTGTCTCTTCCACATCGGCACTCTTCTACCTGGGTCTTGAGTATGGAGTTTCCTCCTCTCCAGTGTTTCTCTGCCCCCCCCCCCCGCCCCGAACCTTAGCTTTCTTTTACTTCTATACCCAATTGTGAATTGGTCTCTGTATGGGAGTCATCAGGAATCAGACAATTGAGGGAGGCATGTGTAGCGGACTACTTCTTCCTGGGTGAAGCTAGTCAGCTTGGTTAGAGAAGCTTGATGTGGAGACAGAGAATCTAGGTGCTTTCAACCTGTGAAATAAAAGGTGAATCTGTGCGAACAGGAAATTCCAGGCACACACCACGGAGGCGGAAAGGGTAACTGCACACGCCACTGTGCTGTGTGTAAGTACAGGGTCTCCCTGCACATGTGTATGCATGCCATGTGGGGGTAAGATTTCCAGTGGTGCAAAGGGTACTTCAGCACCCACCTGCCACTGAAAGTCAATGGGAATTGGGCACCTACGTGTCTATTTTTCTTTTGCTCTCATTAACTGCCTCCCTCAGACATGCTGTTTCACAGTGAACAGTGTAATACTGTGGGAGCAAAACCAGCTGTGACATTGTGCAAGATTCTCCACACACCCCCAAAGCTCTGGTAGCTTTATTCCAGTTCTGCATGGCATTTACTTTTAGCAGTCACTCCTCATACAGTACTGATCACTTGGTACTCTGTGGATCAAATCTTACTTTTCGGAAAACACGTCCGTGCTGATGTTTTCTACTGAATGCTGTGGCTGCTGGTGGTTAAGGTCAAAATACAAGTGATTTCTTTGATTTGCCTTGATGTTTTCAAAGGTGCAGTAGGAAGGAATTTTGTCCAAATTAAAAAAACCTAGTAAGAAGACCAAAAAAGTGCCACCGTGGCTAAACAACGAAGTAAAAGAAGCAGTTCGAAACAAAAAGGCATCCTTTAAAAATTGGAAGTTAAATCCTATTGAGGAAAGTAAAAAGGAGCATAAACTCTGGCAAGTCAAGTGTATAATTAGGAAAGCCAAAAAAGAATTTGAAGAGCAACTAGCCAAAGACTCTCAGGCTAACAGCAAAAAAAAATTTCAAGTACATCAGAAGCAGGAAGCCTACCAGACAATCCAGTTGGGACCACTGGATGATTGAGATGCTAAAGGAGCACTCAAGGATGATAAGGCCACTGCGGAGAAACTATGCATTTTTTGCTGAGGGAGATTCCCAAACCTGAGCCATTCCTTTAAGGTGACAAATCTGAGGAACTGTCCCAGATTGAGGTGTCATTGGAAGATGTTTTGGAACAAATTGATAATTAAACAGTATTAAGTCACCAGGACAAGATGGTATTCTCACAAGAGTCCCGAACGAGCTCAAATATGAAATTGCAGAACTAACAACTGTGGTATGTAACCTTGCATTTAAATCAACTTTGTACCAGATGACTGGAGGATAGCTAATGTGAAACTAGTTCTTAAAAAAGGCTCCAGAGGCGATCCCAGGGATTACAGGCCAATAAGCCTAATTTCAGTACCAGGGAAATTGGTTGAAACTGTACTAAAGAACAGAATTATCAGACACACAGATGAACACGATATGTTGGGGAAGAGTCAATATGGTTTTTATAAAGGGAAATCATGCCTCACCAATCTGTTAGAATTCTTGGAGGGGGTCAATAAACACATGGACAAGGGTGATCCAGTGGATATAGCATACTTAGACTTTCGGAAAGCCTTTGACAAGGTCCCTCACCAAAGGCTCTTAAGCAAAGTAAGCAGACATGGGATAAGAGGGAAGGTCTCTCTTGGATCAATAACTGATGAAAAGACAGGAAACAAAGGGTAGGAATATATGGTCAGTTTTCAGAGTGGAGAGAGGTAAATAGTAGTGTCCCAGGGGTCCGTATTGGGACCAGTGCTGTTTGACATGTTCATAAATGATCTTGAAAAAGGGGTAAATAGTGAGGTGGCAAAATTTTCAGATGATACAAAATTACTCAAGATAGTTAAGTTCAAAGACCGTGAAGAGTTACAAAGGGATCTCTCAAACCTGGGTGACTGGGCTACAAAATGGCAGACAAAATTCAGTGTTGATAAACGCAAAGTAATGGACATTGGAAAACATAATTCCAATTATACATACAAAATGATGGGGTCTAAATTAGCTCTTACCACCCAAGAAAGAGACCTTGGAGTCATTGTGGATAGTTCTCTGAAAACATCTGCTCAATGTGCAGCAGCAGTCAAAAAAATGAACAGAATGTTAGGAACCATTAGGAAAGGAATAAATAACAAGACAGAAAATATATTGCCTCTATATAAATCTCTGGTATGCCCACATCTTGAATACTGTGTGCAGGTCTGGATGCCCCATCTCAAAAAAAGATATATCGGAACTGGAAAAGCTACAGAGAAGGCCATAGCTTCCATATGAGTAGAGATGAAAAAGACTGGACTTTTCAGCTTGGAAAAGAGATGACTAATCGGGGGGAATATGATAGAAGTCTATGAAAGGTTGACTGTTGTGGAGAAGGTGTATAGGAATGTTATTTACTCATCCACCTAACACAAGATCTAGGAGTCACCCAATGAAATTAATAGGCAGCGGGTTAAAACAAACAAAAGGAAGTACTACTTCACACAATGCACAGTCAACCTGTGGAACTTTTTATCAGGGGATATTTTGAAGGCCAAAGGTATAACAGGGTTGAAAAAAGAACTAGATACATTCATGGAGGACAGGTCCATCAATGGCTATTAGCCAGTATGGGCAGCGATGGTATCCCTATCCTCTCTTTGCCAGAAGCTGGGAGTGGACAACATGGGGTGGATCACTTGATGATTACCTGTTCTGTTCATTCCCTCTGAAGCACCTGGCACTGGCCACCGTCAGAAGACAGGATACCAGGCTAGATGGACCTTTGGTCTGACCCAGTATGGCCGTTCTTATGTCCCATTCAGGTGAATGTTACAGGTTATGGGAGTGCTATTTACAGCCAGCAGGAATTTGCCTGACCTGTACTGTAAGGAACAACAGTGCACTTGCAAGAAGTGAACTAGACAATCTAATAGATGGTTTTCATCTCTAAGTTTGGAGATTCAAACTCCTGGCTCTAAAATAAATAATGGGACTTGCTCCGTCCTGGCATGATGGAAACTCGGCTTCTATGCATGGGTCTGATTTGGGAAATTCACCTTTCTGGGACTCTGGATGGATCACTTGGATTCGTACGGCTGTTGAAGCAGGAGTTTGCCCAAAGCCACCTGTGACACTCTGTACCTCGGGGGACACCCTACACCCCCCATGTTCATCTTTATAAAATGATTGTATGGTATCCAGTGCAAAGTTTGTCATGTTGGGTGTCTTCGAAAGGCTCATAATGCACTGAGCATGGTTGTTATAGTGATGTTATAGTAATTGTTACAGTAAGGTTATAGGTTATATTTTCAGGTAGATAGTTATGAGGCTGAAAATGTATCCTCATGACTTAAAGCAAGCCCATGCAAAAACTCTCCAAGAACAGAGAGGCAGTTCACACCTCGTCCGGACATGGATGGGACAAACCCAGACCAACCTCACAGGAACAAAGGACACTGGCTTAGGCAGCAACAAAAGAATCTATTAGACCCTCGAGGGAGTCACCCCCTTCCTTTGGGCTGTTTGGGACTGCAATGAGGTAATGCTCACCTGACTCGGGGGGAGTGGGAGGGCAAAGCCAAGAGGAAAGAAAGGACATGATAAAAGGGAGAGAGACATTTTGCCATGCTCTCTCTTCCACCTACATCTACAGACACCACTACCACCAACCGACTGAAACGCTGATCAAAGGGGAGAGCCTGACTGAAAAGCCAGCCTGTGGTCAGAAGCATCAAAGTTTTTAAAGACATTGAAAGCGTTAAGATCAGCTTAGAATGCGTTTTGCTTTTATTTCATTTAACCAAATCTGACTGGGTATACTTTGACTTATAATCACTTAAATCTACCTTTATAGTTAATAAATCTGTTTGTTTATTCTACCTGAAACAGTGCATTTGGTTTGCAGTGTGTCAGAGAATCCCCTTGGGAGAACAAGCCTGGTACATATCAATTGCTTTGTTAAATTGACGAACTTATATAAGCTTGCAGCATCCAGCGGGCATAACTGGACACTGCAAGATAGAGGTTCCCAGGGTTGTGTCTGGGACTGGAGATATTGGCTAGTGTCATTCACTTGCAAGTAGCTGGACGCAGCTTATGTGCCAGAGGATGTGTGTGAACAGCCTGGGGGAGGGGGGGGTCCTCACAGCAGAGCAGGGTAAGGCTGGCTCCCAGAGTCAAGGATTGGAGTGACCTAGCAGATCACTGGTCCAGATAACACCAGAGGGGAACGTCACACCACCCTCTTTAGTATTAAGTCCACTGTAGTTCAGCGGCAGGATCTCTCTGAGCACAGTGACTTTTCTTTCCTCTATTTCCTCCTTTTTCCCCCTCCAGTCTGGGCCGTTTCACCGGGGTCTCTTCCTTTCTGCAGGCCTTGCAGTCTTCTCCTTCCTTCCTGTACAGTATCTCCTTTCAGCTTCCCTCCTGTTCCAACTCCTGCCACTTTCTCC